ATTAAGAGTCGTTAAGGAGAACGTCGAAGAAAGTCACAACGACCTTGGGTGTTTAATTAAGGTTGGACGCACGCTTTATGGTGAGAAATAACGGCAGTCAATGTGAACGCTCAATGATAAAAAAACCGTTAGCTATTCTCGATGTAGCGCGATGAAACCGGTTGCAGACGAGCTTTACTAAACATTCGTTGCAACGCCAGTTCTTTCTCGTCGATAGTGCATCGGCATAACATTAATAATTATCATAAACATTCTCATATACGCGAATACCGGGTGTCCACTAGCACGAACGAGTTCCTCCGATTAATTTGAAGGGTTTCTTTGTTTCCATTCACGGCAATGTTGCGAAACATTCTGGTTGTCATATCTTTCCAATTTTAACGTCGTTTATCTCCATTTATTGTTTATCTTTCTCATCGTTTCATTAAATGAGCCTCCTGAGTTGAGATTCTATCGAGATACAGTATAATGAGGGAAAAAAATTGTTAACTTCGCTGGAAATTATAATCACTCTCGGCGTCGATTATATTCCTGTTGTTCTAACGAAAAAAGTAGTGGTGTACATAAAGTGTACACAAAGTTATTAAGTTAGTATACCGAGAAAAGTATTTGAAGAATTTTTTATGGGATATAAAGTTTACTTTTGCGAAATAATATTTATTTCTGTGAATAGTAAACTTTATATCCCACAGATGAATTCTGTAGTATTTTTTCCCTTAATGTAATAATAATAGTGAAATTTTAAAGTTACATGGAGGATTCTGAAATTATAAATTCACATAGTAATACACGTATAATTATCGCCAGTAATGCACGCTACTGCAGCATTTATGTAAAAATGGCTTTCTAATTATCTATAATTATTTCGTTATGCAGTTACAATCGTAAATAACCGTAAATGATCGAGCATATTTTTTCAGTTTACGCTTTAAACTGGTCGGAGTAATTTATTTATCTGAATTCGCCATTTATTGACGGCCAATTACGCGATAATTACCGCAAGTATCTCGGCACTTTCACGTCGACGAAAAGCCGAGTAAAAATCGGCTGATGAATTTATGATGAAAATGGCACCGGGTGATACTCGCATATTCCGTATCCCGCTGCAACGATCCTAATCTGGCGATCTTAACTTGGTCGACGGGCTTTTAATTTATCGGTGAGAGCGGATACGCGCGAAAAAAACAGGATTTAGAAAAGTCTCGTTCTCAGTTACGGTCCCCGGCGTGGCTCGGAGGAGTTATGCTAACTGTTACGTGACAGACAACTTTCATAATCGCCCTGATGATAGCGATCCATCCATCGGCGTGTACGCCCAGATGTATATCTTCGTTTGTTGTCCATGTTAACGTGAGACTGCCGTCGTGATAATTCAACGATTGCACCTAAAGTATCATTCAATTATCGTTTGCGCGATAATCAAAACGGACTTGCAAATCGTGCGTGTATCCGCGTATGAATGGAAATCACATCAATGATGACAACACCGATGTAAATGAAGATGATACAATGTTTTGCAGACGATAAATATCACATTCATCTTCATCATAATTTGTTAGCCGCATGCTGATACGTTCTGTCGATACGAGTATAAAATGTAATTAACTGTATGCAATAGCGATTGTAATGGCAACATTTTTTGTATTTTCAATGAAAGAGAGACAGATAGAAGGAGAGCGAGAGAGAGAGAGACCTGTTTGACTACGCACTTTATTTTTTATTTTCTTTAATTAATATTATTTAATTAATATTATTAATTTAAGTTCTCTGCGAAAAATACAATTTCTTATTTTCCTTTCTTTTCATTTTCCAAATTTTTCTAAGTTTCTAAAAAGGAAGAGAATATCAGGAAAAATAAGAAATTCTATGATAAATGGGTATTTAAATAAAATAATATAAAGTACAACACGATAATATACAACACGAAGAGAATAATAATATTTAGAGGGTAACTATGCGGACATACCGCGGGTTGTTACCTGACTGAACTAAATGAGCGTCAGAAATGAATTTATTGTCAAATTAAATGTGTGTCTTTTAATTTCTCGTTTGCAAAAGTACATCAGTATTTCCTTTCTTATTGCGTTCTTTCAAAACATGTCGAAAGGCTTACTTCGCGTTATGAGTATTCTTTCGCCTCGGAGGTTTCGCACAATAATGAGTTTTTCTGTCTCGTAGATCAAATGTCATCGCATTTATTAGATAAATAATCGCGCAATTGCAAAATGCTCACAAGCTCCGATGAAAATAACGAGCGTTAGAAGTTGTGTCGTTAGAAGAGAAGCATTTCGCGCGTGACTACACTTCTCTCGCGTTTTTTCTCCTCTTCCTCTCTCTCTCTCTCTCTCTCTTTCTTAGAAAACCTGCGATTTTCTTCGGTGTTAGCCTTGGCTTCAGATATGATCACGGGAGAGGTAAAAGTCGCACGCGGTGAACTTGCCTATTGCTTCGCCACCGCTAGTTATCCAGGAATGTAATGAGTGGACACACAGGCACACATGCAAATTGTCACGACACGCATTGATAAACGCGGTCATTGCTCAATGTTGCATGTCGCCCGAAACAGAACGTCCACAGTCGCCCTGGCTAAAACATCTAGGTGCAACATTCAGCTGCGTCTTTTTCGATGTTACCCAAATACCAGTTCTGATAAATTAACGATCTTTTAATTAATTCTTCGTCTGAAGTTCTCTTCTCGCGGATATTATTCGCGCACTTCCGCCACCACTGTTGAAACCGAGTCCGCCGAGAATCTCGCAATTTTTGCTTCGGAATTTTAATTTCGAATAGCCGGGTAAAGCAAGAGAAAGAGAGAGAGAGAAAGTTTAAACAGTGAAAGCATGAACCGCGATTAGACCGATCGGTTATGACTTTGAGTAGACTCGGTCTGGTCAAGCTTTTTTTTACCGCGTTTATTCCAACCAACAGAAATTGTTTTGTTTTATTTAATTTTCGTACATCAGAAATTGCTTCATTTTATTTGATTTTAGTTCGTCAATAATTTTATCATACTACTTGATTTCTTTATTTCTAAACTAGATTCATTCGAATAATCTGACGCTAGGTCGTAAATCTGAATAATTCATTTGTGTATATTTTATTATGCTCCTAAGTTACAACTTAACATTTGCAATGTTCTCGTATTGCCGTGTATCTGCATTAAATATCGATAACGAACGAAGGAATTGTAAAACTACATTTTAGTCTCGTGATAAATTCCTCTCAAATGCCGTTTATACAGAATCAGGTTTACGATATGTTGTCGCACGGAAAAATCAGTTAACAACGCGTACGCTGTTCTATCTTTTCTCTTTTCTGCGGAATCGAAAGGCTACGGTCATAGAAGAAAGAGTAAAAAGAACATGGCGTTATTTGCGACATCCCGCGCTCGCTCGGGCAAATCAGCGCAACATGATTTAACTAATTACTTTCAACGCGTTCACGGGACGGATTCACAAGGTTGCCGATCGCCACCGGTCGATACACGCATGTACGTATTCACAGATTGCGAGCAGTGCACTGTTATTTACTTGGCGTGTGGCCTCGATTAGTTAGCCGGTAAATGAACCGTCGCGCAACGTAAAAATTGCCCCAACACTTTAGAGAAGCGAAAATATTCTATGCGTGTAAACACGAATATTCTGCGCATTGCCGTTAAACTCGTTTCGTTGAAATAAAACTGCGTGTTTTGCTTGTGGAAATGAAAACTGTTATTATCTTCTTATGTTTGAAGAATTGCTTAGAAAAACGTTGCGGAAATTTCCATCAAAGTTAGATCGTTAAAACAATCTAACACTTGATGACTTTTCTCATACACAGGGAAAAAGAATTTGATTGTATTAATATGAAGTTTGGTTTTAATGAACTGACCAATGCGTCTTGGCTGAAGAACACAGAATTTCTGGTTCTTATGATCCAAATTTTTGGCTTTAAGAACTAGAAATTCGATTCAAAACTAGAAGAAACAATACAAGCGAGTCATTGAGAACTCGAAAATCCATTTTTTTATCTTCTGACAATACTCGTTTCTTCGATCGATATCAGGCAAGCATAATTTATCTTTGTGAGTATTGTACGTCCCTAAAGTCTTCGCGATCCTTTCTCTCAACACCCCGTATCTCGTCGGGCCGTTGACACGCGTTGAATGCCAAGAAATCGCGTCGATCGCGGGATTCGATGACGAAAGAGGACATCGTTGTGTACAGAGCGAAAGAATGCAGTCGTACCTTCGTCTAACGAGCGAGGAGTCATTGGGGGAAAACGCGAAGTGCCGGTGCGTGAGCGCACACCTGCGTCCCGTCGTCGCGAAAATAGCTTTCTGGGAAAAATAGCTTTTGTCGGTAACGTTTAATTACAGTAAACAATGACGCGTTTTCCAATCGAACGTGGACACCTGAAAACTATCGATAAGCAGCAGGGGAAGAGGGGAGAAATGTGCAGATCGTATGTTGCACGATGTCGCGCGCGAGATGGACGCCCGAGATTGAGTGTTGTTCTGTCGTGACGTGTTCAGAACACACGAAACGCATTATCAGCGTAGAATGCCAATCGGCGGCTACTCACTAGGCCCGTAATCAGCAATGTTTAGTTAACGCATTGTGCAGTAAGAGCCACGACGCGACGAACGTGTCGCAAGACGCGTCGAGTAGTAGTCGCCGGAATAAGGCCGGCCCAACCGCAGTAGTAAAATGGACGTTGCGTCGGACTCGCGCAGTCAATACGTCGAGACTTTGATCTTTTATCTGCCCTTTTATCTGTGAGGTTGCTTTTCGATTTTAATACGGAATGACATTTGCATATTTACGTGATGTGATTCGAGATAGGTGACAAATCGCTTCCCGTCATGTTTCGAAATCGTATCTTAAAGACATTTTGAAACTTGCGTGAGCGTGCGCGACCGAATGGGAAAAGTATTTGCCTGTTGCGCAATAAATCGTAACCCATGCACAATGTAAGTTTATCGTCAATATTTACGGAACTTTCATTTTTCTCATTTGCAGAGCAAAACGAACACACCAGACTGCAGGATAGGCCTCGTGAGGGCGACGAGCACTATGCAAACGCAGCTGCCTGGTTCTGTGGCCGATGACCAAGTCGATCCGTATAGACTGCTCGAAAACGACCTTAAGGATATGTTCGAAAACATACAGGAGGTAAACATTTTTGCTTGAGCTTCGTCTGAAAAATCGTCCTACATTGCAAATATATTTCAAGGAGCGGCGGCAGTTCTTGTCTTTCAGCGAATCTCGATAACGAATCTCTATAATCATAAAAATTCGTTATATTCTCTAAATTGAAAGTGGTGTCACGTAATTGTGACGTCACTTTCAAAGTGAGCGCGTAAATTAATTACGTAAAACAAAGCCGCAAGCTATAGATCTCCATTTGTGTATTCCCATCGATCGCAGATCCCTCGAGAAACTTTCGGGAAGTAAGAGCACTATCGTCTAGTAGGCATTTATGTAATTTGACTTCGTCGATATTACGCGAACACGCGCACGCGATATTACGAAATCCTGGCGCGACGTAAGACGAACATCCAGTCGTGCGGTAATAATCCGTGTATCGAAAAAAGTGTAATTATAAAAGCTGCGTAATCTTTTACTTCGTATAACAAATTCGTCCTTTGATTTCCTGTTTGTTTAACGATTAATTCATTGTTGCACAATTAATTCACGGAACACTGGCTCTTAAATCACAGTTGCTTACTTTGCCAGATTCGATCGTAAATAAATTAAGTGTAACGAATAGAATTGGAAGATTTATTTATCTATAATAAACAGATATATTTATCCATAATAAACTTATATTCAAAATTATATTTGTTAAAAAAAAATACTTGAAAATTTACTTTTGTTTGGAAATTTATAAATTTATACTTGCAAATTTATATCTGCGAAATAAACTTTTTTTTTATAAATAAATTTTCAAATATTTCTTTTTCAGTGTGCATTTTTCTTAATAAAGATAAATTTAATTGTTGCATGGAAAAAACGTTTGGTTAGATTAACTAAATTTTTAATGAAATATGAGTGAACCAGAAAATTTGGGTTGAGATTATTGGAATTTCAGGTTTGTTCATATTTTACTATGAATTTGATTAATTCAGCTAAATCTTTTTTTGTGTGATAAGATTTTTATTTATCTCAAGTTTTATCATTTACATAAGATAAATAAAAATTTGATTGAAATATTTCTTATAGGACTGTGTGTGTTTAAATATGTAAATAAAAAAATTAATTTATTATACTTATACATAATGTGTAAGTTTCTCTTTGAATTTGGGAAAATGATTATTAATGATAGATAAATCTTCGAATATCATTTGTTATTTTTAATTCGCTATTATAGAAGAATAACATTCGCATACTCTGCTGCTTGTGACTTTCGTAATATCGATGAAGGATGCTTAGATCGGAGCATTATTCAACGTATACCGGCTGTTTCTCCCCAGCGACAGGTACGCGATCGTTGGTAAGCGCGGTTTATAAATATTGATGAAAACCTGTGCAGTTTTCACACAGCGTCCTGCACTTAAGACTCTTCGCCCGCGAGCGAAAGCAGCCAGACTTCACGGTCTGCATATGGTCGAGAGAAGAACTTTTACTCACGGTCGCCGTTCATGTACGGCACGCAGTGTGAAATTCGTTCAATCTGGAGGGACGAAAGTATTTCGCTATTACATTCCTGCTATGATTTCCACTTTGCTAAGTAGATGAGCTGAATTAGGTGATCACAAATATTGTCGAACGAAAACTGCACATTGTTTCGGTTACATGAAGTACAGAAATAAATTTTTTTCGCAAAAAAAGAATATAGCTATACCATTCTAAATATTTATATGTGTATCTGACGAAATGCTCGGTGACGAAACATCAGAAAGAATAGCATGGAAAAAAGACTTGTAATTGAAAGTGTTCTGACACGCAGTCGCGACACCGTCTTATTGGTGTCGTCGTAGAGTGTCTGTGTTAGCGGTTGTTGGCGAAACAAAAGAAATCGCATTTAACGAACCGTCGTGACTTTAACGGACGTTATCTGATTTGAGGAAAGTTAGAGAAATCGACTATTAGTATCGCAAGCGCCGCATCGATAATTGGACGATATCGACCATCCTCCTTCACCTTCTCCTTCTTATGCTTCTTTAAGTTCATCTACAATCTTTATGATAAGAATCTGGCCATAAACCGATTTTGTCAAAGTCCTGCAAGAGAGAAGGAATTATTCACTATTTCTGTCTCTCTCCTTTTCTTTCTCTTTCTCTCTCTGACATATAAGCTAATTGTTGTTAATGTTTGTTAATTGTTGCATTGTAAGCTAATTATTGTAGAGAAGAGGTTTGAGATTTGACATATGATATAATAACGTTGAGGTAAAGTTGAATATTTAAAGCTGTGAATGGTTGAATTATTACCGCTTGAGAACTGACATTAACATGATATTTTTTATTAAATGTTAGGAAGTATTGCTTAGTCAGTAAGTAGAATAATTTTCGTTTGTTTCTTTTCTATTTTCTATTTGTTTTCTATTTTAGTTTTGTATTTTCTTTTTCTCTTTATATTGTTTATTATTTTTTATTCTGTTATCTATTACTTACAAATTACTAAAAACTCTAAGGGATTTCTACTCCCGGAGTAAATAAACTACTCTATTTTACTTCTCTCTCTCTCTCTCTCTCTCTCTCTCTCTCTCTCTCTGTCTATCTCTCTCTCACGTGCGTCAAAGAATACCAGGTTAGAGAAGTTCACCTGTTTGATTCCGGTTGCGCAAGTGACGGACGGCGCGCGAAAAGTGACTTGACGTAAGCTCTCATCTTGCAACTCGGACGAAAGACTTGTACGAATTGTACGATCGAAAAGCGGAAACGTTCGAGTTTCGAATTTTCAGGCAATTTGAACAGAATAAACGAATGTGTTTGATCGACTCACTATGGCCGAAAGTCGAACAATTCGAATAATTCCGATATAAGAAGAGGAAAGTATATTTGTCGCAAATATGCTTAGGTCCCGTCCTTAGCCGATATTACTAAGAATACAGAAAAATGTTTCGCGAGTTAAGCAAACTTCTGATAAAATATGAATGAACCAGAAATTTCGACTGAAGTTACTAGAAATCTTGTTGTTACTAGAAAACTTGAACAGAATTCTGATAATTCTACGTGGAATTTTCTAGTTAATTTATGTTTCACCAGAAATTAGTCCAATCAAATTTTTTTTCGTGAAGAAAATATTTCTTGGATATTATAGGTTTTTATATGGCTTTTTAGACTTTATAGGTTTTTTATACAGCCCTTTACGGTTTGAGATATCCGGACAATTAATTCGATTTCGACATTCGTAGTGTTCAAGTTGCTCGATCAGTCGAAGATTCCACGCGCTGCGCGCCTCGTCGTAGCCGTACGTCGAAACTTAATGCGCTCCTCTGGACAAATTCCAAAAGGAACTTTCAGCCGCGACGTCTGGAATTCGAAGCACTTGGTCTGCTGACGTCGACGATGTCTCTTCTCACCTCCATTGCAACGAAAGCAGTTTTGCCCCCCGCATATTTAATCCCGCACGATCGCGGGGCAGGTTCCGTGTGGTCAGAAGGACGAAAGTTATAGATTTCTCTTTTGGTTACGCGTTCGGTTTCGTGAAGTCGAAGCCGTGTACGACGGAGAAATCCCCGAAAATATCTGGGAAAATGAGAGTAGTCTCTAGTATGAAACGCATATTTCGAAAGATAGGGCGCGGATTTCTCCTTTGCTGATACGCTCGCTCTCCCACAACTCCCAAAAATAAATAACGAAATCGTTTCCTCTTAATTAAGAGTCAATTTCAGATGAATGTTAATTAACAGCTGGTTTAATAACGGTCTGGTTTAATAACAGTACACACACATACATACACACATATAAATATTCAATACCATTTTTCTGAATAATATCTTAATGAGAGAGGCATATGTACTACGAAATTATATTTACAAATTACTGTTTCAAGTTTCATTGAGGCAATTTCGCTTTTTTTGATAGATTATATGTGATATTAAAACTTCCAAATTACGACAATCGTAACAATCGCTGCCCATAATCTGATCTTATATTTAAGATTGTCATATTTATCCTGAGATGTTGCAAAGACTATTTCATCTACGTGTACGAGAAAAAGAATTTGGTTGTTTTAATGTAAAGTTTGCTTTTAATGAACAAATTGAAGGTTAAAGGACACAGAATTTATGTGATTCCCATAACTTGAATTTCCTTGTTTAAAATTTAAGATAGTCTTAAGACAATATTAAATATAAGATCGGATTGTGAAAATCGCTTTAAAAATTCTTTCGTTGACACGCACTTAAGGATACGTGTGTCATTATGATTTTAGGAACTCATCAACTCGACTACGATAAAAGAATTGCAACCCATAGCTACATATTATATGGATGGCCAAGGGAAGGCATTGCGGCCCATGTTGACCATACTGATGGCACGAGCTATCAATTGTCACAAGGGAAACGAGTAAGTGAACCTGCATTTCTATTCCAGTAAGCGAGAAACATTAAATCGACACTTTGAAGTACCGACCTTGTGCGCATTTTTCGCAGGAGCAAACCGCGCGAATATCAGTGGTATACCGAGAGAAAGAATATTTGAAAATTTATTTTTAAGGTATACAGTTTATTTGTAAGGTACAGAGTTTATTTCTATGAGAAAAACTTTTATCCCGCGAATAAATTTTTGAGTGCTTTTTCTCTGTATAACGCTGCAAAATGCAACGAAGTCGAGATCACAGAACTCCCGCTAAGAAAATACGAAGACATAATTATTCACGTTAGAAAGTTGCGTTATAGAATAATTTATATAATTTTATATATATATATATATATATATATATA